GCCATGTCTAGAAATTATACAACACGGGACCATGCAGGACCTCAGTTCTGCCAAGCATCGGTGGGCTCATCGGGACTTCCGCGGACCACCCATGGCCTCAGGGGAATTTACACATTGCTATCCTGCTGTCCATTGCTTGGAGCTTCCTGTTGCTTGTGCCAAAGATATACACAATAATTAATAGAATATAGTTGAATATAGTATAACTTATAACTTATAACTGTTTATAACATTATAGTAAATCATAGTACAATTAGCGGCATAATGTAATTATGCAATTATAGTCATCGTGTTTTGACACCTACTTCACATGTCCTTGCTGTGTATCCACAAATTCTGCAGGCGACATCGGCAAATCACTCATCCTGCAGCTCAGCCATGTCTCAGCGCTCCACGTCAAGTCCAGGGCAAAGGAAAAAGCGACTGCATAGAGGCCATCTGCAACGCAGCTTGGCAAATGGCATGCAGATGGAATGCAGAAAAACATGTGGACCTCCGAACTCTTCCCTTCACAGGCTTGATTGGTTTGTAGCTGTGTGGCTTCAGTGAAAATCTTGACAAGTTGTGCCTGAATCCTACTTGCCCCTAGAGCGGCAGTTTGCAAAGAGTTTGTTTTTTTCCCTTGAGGCCCTTGAGGCCTTTGACCTTGGAGCATCCAGCCTCTCCAGAAGAAGGAGCCAGGAAAATTGTTCGCGACTGGCAGATAACCAGTCACCTTGCACCCGATGGGCGGCCATGGCAGCCATGGAACTTTGGATCAATCTGTTTCCTCGTTTCAGAAGCCCCCATAAGAGGATCTGCACATGTGGCAACGGCCAGAAGTCGCTAAGGCAAAGGCTCTCAATTGAACCTGCTTTGGCTGTTGGTTAAACGCCTTGCAATTGCCAGTGAACTTTGACATCGTTTCAGGCCACTGAATGGTTGAGGGTCCAGATCATTTTCAGGAAGAAACGAATGTTCCCAGCCACTACCGACCAAGGGCTAGCAAGTGAAATGAATCATAACAAATCCCTGTCCAAAGTGGCTATAAGATGCTATAAGTCCCTATGAGTCCCGCCAGTACCTGAGGCAGTGGCCTCAAGGAAAGCTTCCTCTCCGCCTTGATCAGCCTTATCTCCAGATCAGAAACTGATCAAATGGAATGTGGACATATCCAAATCATTCCAAATCCATGTGCGAACAGATCTAGATGATGAATCATAGTGACAAAATGTGACACAGCAACATTCATGTAAATATATCATATATCATATGCGTTGTATAGTATATATGATGTATGATGATGTATATGTTTGTAATTATATTAGTTAGAGATAGTTAGAATATGCTATCAATATGCTATCATATTGTGTCATTCGTGCGCTACTAATTAACAGTGAACCCATTGTTGCTGTAGAAGCTGTGCTGCCAGGCTGTGTTGATGTACATCCTCGGATCGGCATAGAATTTCACGCGCGAGCGATTGGCGGCCTGGTTTCTGGAGCGGAGCTGATCCGCGACTTGCGAAGGTGAGTGAAATGGGTGTTTGGTTGGTCGAGATTACTGATCTTTCATGAACATCTAAAGTTGAGCACAAGAACAGTGTTTCCAAGCCTGTCTGTGGGCAAGACACGCACTGAAGGATAGAGTGGCAAAGTAAACAAACCTTGGCCCAAAAAAAATGCGAGCGCAGGATGGACGCTTTCGCTGTGGCAAGGTGTAAACTGACGTGCAAATGATCAGCAATGATTTACCTGCAGAGAAATCAACTAAAGTGAAACTAGTCAATGAATTCCTGCTGATAATCCGCTCAACAATCAAGGGGAACTGCATAATTACATCCAGTTTAGATTTTCTCTTGTTCTGGATGCAAACAGTATACTACGTAATTTAATAGAGTGTCCCTACAGTAGCCCGAATTAGCTCCGTCAAATCCAGAAAAAAACGTCAGGAAGTGTTCATTTTTTGGAGCTCTCTTTAGAGAAACTACCCCTGGAATTCCATGGATGTTTTTTGGGGCCGCAAAAAGACAAAGTTCGCTGATGTTTTTTGGTGGCCAAGTGACATAAGCAAACACATCACCACCAAGTCCTGCATCTTCATTCGATGAATCAGGTCCTCAAGGCCAGTATCATGGTGGAATCATGGTGAAATAATGTGAAATATGTACTGTAGATTATATAGATGTGTTTGTGATTGTTTATGATAGCTCTGATTTTACTCGATTTTACTCTATGCATCTCTGTATCACTATGTGGTGACATGTGATTACATAATTATAGTTACTGCACTCTATGTCTTCGATTCCATTTTCGCTGAATTGTTTGATGATGTTTGCTTCAATGATTTCTGTCACCCATCTTCAGCTTTCCAGCACTGAAGTCTGAGCTGTCAACCCGGTCAAAGTTGATGCTGCCCGTGTTTCCCACTGAAGCACCAATCCCACCAGCCATCGCCATCAGCATCCTGAAGTCTTGGGATCTCATGTACTGACCGGTTACTAACCCACTTGAAACACTTGAAGACCTGCTCCAATGAAAGCCAAAGCTCGGCTGCTCTGCCAAAGGGGCTAGTAGGCCGGTGTCATTTGGATGCTGCTCGTTATCAAGCTCCTGTAGTCGCATTTCTGGGCGATTGACAATCAACTTTCAAATTTCAAGTAATTTTTGCACCACTCCAGATTCACATTCTATTGCTGCAGTCTGAATGTGTTTCGACTATATATAATCAGTGTGGGATCTTAGCATAGCATCAACATGGGCACCAAAAGACCATGCTGGCCATGATGGCCATGGCATGTTGCAACATGCTGCTCCTGCTCTAAGAGTTTGATCTGATTTCGCTGATCCTCTGTCAGCTTCACATACCTATCACGGCCACAACCAGGGTCAATTGAGATCTCCAGGCGCGTCAAGCAAGGCTAACAAACAGGGTCAGGACACATGCAAGCATTCTAGAACTCATCGATAATACATATGTTGCACCTGTAGTCTCGCACCTGTAGCATGTCACTATAAACAGACATGTTCATCCTGTAGCATGCCTAGGCCCGACGTTCTTCTCCGCAGGCGTCAAGTCAGCTTCGACCTGACCACCCATCGAATTGGATGTCTGGGTCAAACATTGGGTCAGCATCATCCATCAACATTGATCAGCATCATGAACTATTTAATCAATATTTATCTATGAAATGGTGAAATATGTATCATCAATTGGCTCATCATCAAACATGGTGAAATATTTATGGAATCTTTAAAACATGCCAATCTCATCAATGTTCCATCTGATCCCCCGGATTCAGCTCGAGGAAGGTACACCATCTGCGGGAGTGACCAAATCCCATCCATGACTACCTCAGTGTGGCGTCGCTGCGGCAGAGGAAAAAAACCAGAGGTACCAGTAGCACCAGATGCCCACTGAGCCTCTGCTAATTAAACATGACAATACAAAAAAAAAAAACAAATGATATATTTATATAATATTTATATAATATCTATTATATTTATATTATAGGTACTGTACTTGATTTTCCCACAGTAAGGGATTTCCTATTGCCATGTTTTTTTTCCCCAGGGTACATCTCCCAAGCTGCCGGCCGTTAGACTTTGCAATTGCTCTGACATGGCTAATGTGCTCAACCTGGCAGCATCTGTGTGTCCAAAAAACTGTTGAACTGCTGCTTTCCACACCAAACATCACCAAACATCACCAAACTATACGATACCTATATATATATAAATATATATTAGAATAGATACTATATAATTATTTATAATTCTACAATAATTATACATAAATCATAAATTCTGGAATGATAGACCTGAACTTGGAGGAAGCCCACCTCTGAGAGGTGTCGCCCAAAGAGCCGCTGCATGGTGGCCTTTTGAGTGGCCTGCGAAGTGAGATCCAAGACACTGAAGCGCCTCAGTGAAGACGTGGCCGTGGAGGCGGGAATTTCATGGAATTTCTGTGGAGGGTCTGTCAAGTTGCCCAAATCAAGTTGCGAACCAGGAAATCAATGGAAATCGCCATTGAAGTCAGAATTATCTGAGTTGTTCAAGACACCAAGACGCAGAGGTTCGTGATGATTACTCTTGGCTTTTAGCTGACATAGTATGACATATAAGTTGTTCATGTTTTATTTCCTGGGAAAAATTACCAGCTTATACCCACATACAACTGTTCTTGCGAATGATTCCATTCAGTGTCCTTCCTGTCAGAGTCATATGCAGCCTACGGGAGTTCTTGTCATATGCACTTTGAGTTGCCTCTGGCAATTGCATCCGCATGTTGTCTTTAAAACTTCACGAAAGTACATCAAGGAAGATTGCTGGTGCTTGAAGGGTTGACAAAATGCCAAGATCTTTCCTATCCCTGCAGCCATGTTGCTCTGCAACCGAATGTTGAGAAGCTAATATCTGAGAACTCGCTAGATCGGCGGCCTGTCAGAATGCAGCAGGCTCTCTAAACATCTGATCCAGTCTGGGACCTAACATTACAGTCCTATTTTGTGATTCTGCATGCCATTCCAACGATTTCCAACGTGCCAATCATATGTTCACCAATGATCAGATCATCCATAGGCATTACGTGAAAATTTCAAGAGTCTGAGTTCATACTCCTGTGTTCTGCCCTTCCGTGGCAGAATCAACCAGAACTAATTATAATATACTATGGCCATAGCACGCACTACAACTACCCAGCAACAAGCTTGCTCTCAACAAAATCAAGCATACATGTTCAAGGAAAGCCGTTGGAAACGCGAAATCAAGGGAAATAGTTGGTGAAAATTGTTTGTTCCATCCCCACCCGAATCCACCCTTTTCCCAAAACTCGAAGTCCAAGGGTCGCTGGACTTGTTCGATGACTGCTGGTGAAAGCTGCGTTTGGAGCGATGTCGGCGCGTGCGCACAGACTTCAAGTGTTGGTCCAAGCGCCTGTCTGAGAAAAGGTGGTGCAAGCAGTCCGTCCCTTCGAAGTGTAATAATGTACAGTTAATTACTGGGTTCAGTCATAACACGGCGCGTAAGCCACTGCTATATGCACAGGACAAAATAGGATTTTTCTGTGCCCTCACTCACTGCCGAAAGAATGCATATATACACATATATATATACACACTGAATATTGATATGAATATCACTTGAATATCAATATTACATAGTCATGTGATGTCTTGTGCTGACGGTGGAATCAAACAACAAGGCAGTCAGTGGAAAAGAAAAAAAACAGCGCCTAGTTGATCGACGATGCCTCCGAATGGCGGTGCCGGAGACATATAATTCCAGAATCTTTAAACAGCAGTAAACGCCACCTGGCTATATCACACTTTTGACTCTACATCCTGCAAATCGTTCGCATATTGTGGCATCGCGATTCCTAGTGTACACCTTTAAAGGCCAACTACTACTTGCTTGAAAGTTAAGTACTTACAAGTGGGATCAGAAGTCATAAGTATCAAAACCCAAACTATAAGGTTTTAACTTGATTCGGCCGGGGCATTTCAAGGTCCTGGACCACTTTTGTTAGATCTCATCATGTCTCATCTTAGATAATCTATTCAGCTGAAACACAATTTATTTGAAACGATTATATAGATATGATTCAACTATAATTATGGGTGTGTCTGAAACTAGAACATTTAGCCTCGCAAATGGCCATGTTCATAGCAAACATACTGATAAAACACATTGTTTTTGGGGTACCGAAGCCTGGAGGTCTGGCGCGCTTCACCAGCTCCAGTCTGAAGCAGGCCCTGTCCAATGGTTTTCTCCAACTGAAACGAATGGTACCATATGGATCCATATGATCCCATGAAATCATTTCAGGAACAGTCAAAAACGGTGCTATGTTCGGCAGCAATCTATGACTATCCATGAATGATTATCCATGAATGTTATCCGGATGTTCATTCATATTCGGGATAACCCGAAACCCACATGCTCTCGGGCTGCCAAGAAGAAACTCGGGGCTTGGATTCCTTCAAAATACCGTTGTGAAATACTGACATTTTGATACGTTTTGTCCCCCCTTGAAAAGAAGAACAGGTTTTGTGGGTTAGGACATGAGTTCAAATTCTTGCGCAATCCGTATATTTGCATCGTCTTAGCGGAAACATGCGGAAACTATGTACTCAGCAAGCAGCAGGGCTCCAACCAAGAATCACGGATGGCAAGATGTCACATCATGTCACATCATGTCACATCATGTCACATCATGTCACATCATGTCACATCATGTCACATCATGTCACATCATGTCACATCATGTCACATCATGTCACATCATGTCACATCATGTCACATCCAACACCAGAATCGCTGCTTATCCTACGCTAGGCCCCTCGGCTAGGTGACTGACTTCCTCTCTCTCCTGTGCCTGTGGAGTGCGCTTCAGATCTGGAGCCTGCGCTGATGGCCAGAGACCGAACTTATCGGGCCAGTTGTGATACGGAAACAGGCTCTGGTGCACATGTAAACTTAAAGATACTTAAAGAGTCTTAAAGTCAAAGGTTTCAAAGGGTCAGAGACTTCACAATTTTCATCAATGTGGCAGCGCCTCAAATGCAGTTTTGGTTCGCTTTAATAATTTAATACATGTTTCTAAATGATCGGGCACAGCCCCAGTTGGTTCTTCCACAGATTTTCCGCAGGTCATGGCAGGTCTATCCGAAGGGTCCTCCTCCAACTCAACCTCGTCAACAGGCAAACGTTCTCCATGGATAGTATGTACACCTTGGCAGATTTCAGCTTCCCGAAAAGCGTTCAAGAGCTGACCTGCAACTGCTGCTTAGCACATAGGCATACATTGGCCATGTACATACCTTGCACACTTTTCACAAGATTTTGAAAGCTCCAGATAAAGATATGCCATGATAATCCATGAAATATCCATGATATTAGCGATTCCCACACCACCAATCGGACCAATCGGACCATTCGGAAGCGGGAAGCCCAGATGCTGAGAGACCGACAGAGACAGAATAGAACTGGTCGAATCATGGGACTGTTGCAAAACCTGGAACCCAAATGGAAACATCGATGGGTTACCTATCCTACCTCGAAATACGCTGGTGAATACGCTGGTGAATCACCATTGTCCCCATATTGTCCCCATTAAAGTGGCCAGGTTATGCCATTTTCATCCTCAGTGCTATGAAAAGTGGTCGTATGTGGCCCGTATGTGGTCGTCCTGCACAGCTGAAGCATGGACATCCTAAGGTCATGGCCGATAACAACAGGAGAGGCCTGAGAATACCGAGGGGCCTGAAGGCAACGGTGCTGTTGGTGATGGGCCAAGGTATCGAAACATCAACCAACGCTGCTACTGATTTCATGCACTCACTCCCAGACAGTCTGCATCCTTTCAAGATCATGTCGAGACATGTTGAGTCAAATCACACAAGCACCGCCTGTCAGAGAGCAAGAAGCCCCCGACGCCCCTCACATCTAAAGAGCCATCCATGGCAGCAGAAATGTGTGAATCATCAGAATCAACATGTCAGGGCACAGGTCGGGCATTGAACTTAGAGAACAAAACATAGCAAAACACATGCAGTATATGAAAGTTGTAGCATGCCGTGCATACGTTGCAAACATTTTGCAATAACACAAGGTGTGCCGACAGTGGTAACCACGCTAAAGACACACGACGCCTCAACTGGAGTTCTATGGCCAAAGGAGTGGACATAGCCTGAACCAAAATATACACAGGCCATTCACCTATGTTGATCCATTTTGATTCATCAGGGGACCAATTTGAGGCCACAGATTCACCATATATCACCATATCATATCATTATTATGTCAGAATCAAATTGTACCCTAGAACCCAAACCCGCAAAAAACGTAGGGTCAGTGGAAAAACCCAAGGTTTCGGGCAGAAACCCGAGGTTTTCCAAACCAGTACTAAAATACGGGGGTTAGTACGCGTAAAATACAGGTTAACAGTTAATACGGGTTAAATACGGGTGTACGGGTTTGAAAAAGAAAAACCGAGGTTTGCGTAAGAAACCCGAGGTATTTTAATTTCGTCAAACATACCCGAGGTTCCGAGTCAGACCCTACAATTTTCCAGGGTTTGGGTTCACAGGGTATAAATATTTATATACATGTCTACATCTATTGTATCATTATATACAATTCTATCTGTATGTAGGGAACGGAGCACTGGTGGGTCAACCATCAAGGGTTACTTTTGATGTCACACTCAGTCCTGCATAAGCAGTGAGACTCAGAGGTGGCGCAAACGCGCCGGTAAGGAAAACCGAAGGGGCTTCAAATGGCCCATATGTGCGATAGATTGCCAGAGTCAAAACACTGTTTATGGAGCGTGGTCTCATCCCATCATCATTATGAATTCCTGGGTCCCTGGGTACATTTAAAATCATTTAAAACTTTATTGATGCGGAGAGGGCAAATAACCCATGTTTAGACCATGGCAATAAGTAACAGATTCATCGGCGTCTCGGACATGGTTGGGATAGGGGATCTCAGCGATGGCTCCAGCATTGAGAGTGGCTCCAAGTCAATGCTGATGAAAATGGTATCCTGCCATCAGAAGAATCATGGCATGCTGACAGAGTTGGACCAGCTATTTTTGGACCAACTCTTTTTGCAGGGCATTTGTGTTTTGCATGTCATCCGATAGCGATTCGAATGTTCTCATTCAGCTTGACCTGCAACATAGGAGCACAAGCCTTCTTCTAGAAAATTTGCTTGTGCGAAGTCAAAGTCACCATTGCAATCGAACCTGCAAAAAACACCAAGATCTCACCACCGACTCCAAGTAAAGATGTGAAAAGGGTGCCAAGGATTGTTGTGCAATGTTGTGCATTTACTCTCTTGAAGACCTGGTGAAAATGGTGGTCCAGATTTGGTCAACATTCATGCAGCAGTAAAACCACCCATTCTGGGGGTAGTATCCAATGTTGACCCACCGTCTAATATCTCTACAACCAGGAGCATCAAAGCAGGGCCTGTTCACTCTGAGGTGAATGATGCGTCCAAACCTGCAACGATATGCAAAGAACATTGGCAAACAGAACTGACTAAACTCTAACCCATAGGATCCATGTCTGGTATATATGCTAACATAAAGGGGGTATATTAATGGTAAATGTTACCATATATGGCAGCACCATGGATCCTATATATGGGTAAGTCAGTGTCACCTTCACGAGAAGACACATGTGGCAGAACATCGATCCAGCACCACCCAGAATGATGATGCTTTTTTTTCTGAGCTGCTGCCTATCGATTCCATGTTGCTCCATAGAACAGGAATCCTCGTCCAAATCAACGATGTAGCTTTCTCCTGTACAGAGATCCGCACAGAGATCAGTACAGTATCAAAACATTTATCAAAACTTGATTTGTTGGCTCATGCATGAGCGGACAGGAGCGATAGCCCGAACGCTGTTGCTGGTGTCTCAACCACAAGTGGTACCAGTGGCTATGAAACTTTGACTCGAAATAACAAAAAATCATTTAAAAATCCAAGCAAAGAGATTGCAAAAACACAAAACGTAACAACCTTGATCCACAATTCTCTCCTGAGGAAATCAAATCTGCTTGATCAACAGGAAGCAACAGTAACATTGCCAGTTCCGTGCCTTCAGCGCTTCCGAAGAAGGTTCCATCCACTTCCGCTGAAAGGATCTGCCTACCCTTGGTGATTTGCAAACACAATTCAACTGGAAACTGACAGAAAAAAGTCAACCAAGTCCAATCTAGAAGCCTTTTACTTGAACTTGGCATTCGGTGGAATTGCAGACGCTTGCTGACAAAGCACCAACTACCCCAGAGTATTTCGGACTTTTGCCGAGATACAAATGGAATGCCAACATATTGCCTCAGGGGGTGCCACTGGTCATGCTTGGCCTACCAAGCAGCACAATATCAGGGTACGGGGCCTTCAGACTTGGGAAATTCTAGCCCTGCACTTAGTTATATATATATATCTATATATATAAGTCAATGATTGGCTTGAGAGAGAGGGTCATGTTCCAGGCAACACGACTGGTCATGCTGCGAAATTTTGTCCAATTTGACTCAAGGAATTCAGCAGGACAAAGCCTGCCTGGAGGTGCAGCGACCACAATTGATACTGAATGCAATGACTCGAACCACCAAACACTTCTAAATACTTGGTGGCTCATCCCACTTAGTAAGTGGGTTATAACCCCAGTCATAAGTGGATTAACCTTACTTATCCCATTTATAACTGGGGTTATAACCCACTTACTAAGTGGGATGAGCCACCAAGTACTAATATGCTTTACATGTTGACCCTGTTTTCTTCTCAGTGAAAAGCTGAGGCAAAATATATGGCAAAATCAAGCAATAACACTAACTTACACTAAGTTGATCTAACTTGTATCTTGCCACTTTCTGAGACTCGGACTCGATGAGAGCTTTCAGCTCTCCCACCGTGGTGTTTTCGTTCAAGTCCAAGACCAACCGCCTGCTGCGGGAGCCACAGGAAACTACTCCCCATGCAAATCCCTAGGACTTCCAACAGAATCACAGAAATTCTGTCCGTTAGTGCAGAGCAAACCAGGTTCTGCATGAGCATACAGCAAAATATAATTTAATATATTTAATATAAATTAATATACACAGGCAAATTCACACAACTGATGGACAATAAGTAGTGGGGATCAAATACAGAGTGAAAGCACTCTAAAGCACCACAAGACCGTAGGCTTCCATTCCGAGAGAAAAAGGCAAAGGCTGGACGATTTTTTCTCGGCCGGAGATTCTCCTGCCTTGCACAGAACTTCTTGAGTTTTCTCTTGCCCTTCACAATCTCCCAGACTGCGTTATCCATCGCGGTTCTGGGCGCAGAATTGATCCACTTCCACGGGTCTGGAATGAATGCCACATGGAAAGGACTGAGACTGAAAGACACCCTGACCTGCAACTTCGGCTTGAGAGCATGTCTGCTGAAGGTTTGGTGGAACATGTGGAGGAGAATCCCAGTCATTTCAGGCCGAGGCATGTTCACTATCATCTCGAAGCCCTGCCAAAGGGGGTCAAAAAAAGGTCGAAGATCTGTACTCTGTTGATGATAAAACTGCATGTCGCAAGGGATTCAAGCAGGCCCAGAAATTACTTTACTTCGTGTGATCCCCACCATGACATTTATACATGTTCTTACTGGCACATCTTCTGGCATTCTATCTGACATATCTTCTGACATTCTATTTGGCATTCTATCTGGCATATCTTCTGGCATTCTATCTGGCAAATCTATCTGGCATTCTATCTGGCATATCTTCTGGCATTCTATCTATCTGATCTTCTGGCATATATTCTGGCATATCTCTCATGGCATTCTATCTGGATATCTTTCTGGCATATCTCTGGCATATCTTCTCTGGCATATATTTTCTGGCATTCTACCTGGCAAATCTTCTGGCACTCTATCTGACATTTTATCTTCCTACATGAGGTCCGGCAGGGAACACTTGGCGTGGATACTCGCGGTTGAGGTCCGGCAGGGAACACTGCGGCGTGGATGGTCGTGGTTGAGGTCCGGCAGGGAACACTGGGCGTGGAGGTGGTGGGCGTGGAGGTCCGGCAGGGAACACTGGGCGTGGATGGTCGAGGTCCGGCAGAGAACACTGTGGATCGCGAGTCGCAGTTGAGCAGGAGGACGAGGAGGACAACGAGAGGAGGAGGAGGAGAAGGAGGAGGACGAGGAGGACGAGGAGGACCAGGCAACTGACATAAAATCTAACAACCCTCACCTGGCAGGTGGGGAATTATAAGAAATTGACCATAATATCGATTTCCGTCAAAACCACTATCAATCGTATTGCCCCAACACAAAAAACATGCGAGTCAGGCCTTTAGCTTCTGCTTGGCCACAAACTTTGGTGGCCAACTGTCCTATGACATTCAAGGACTGCCAATGCAATCTCATGCCCTGCACTGTGCGTTTGCACAATGATTGTGCAATCCGAATCTGAAGCGCCCATGAGAACTGACAACTAAGGATTTCACCAGGCCGAAGCCCGGCCACTGCACATAGCACTCACCCAATCGTGTCTCATCCTCAGCGAAGCCGTCCCCATGTCATGCTTGTGCTCTGTCCATCTCTGATTCCCCCCGGGCCTTGTAGTGCACAATGTGCACAATATATTATACAATAATATGCACAATTAATTACGATGACAAGGCCTTCTCATACCCTATCCGCAATGGATCGAAACGCTAGCAAGACATGGCAAAACGACCGCCTGCGAGCATTACTCGTATGAATTGGAAACGGGATCGTCAAATGCCCAACTTTTACCACGACAGCGCGGTATGACTCAAGGGCCCTAAAGCCAAATGTCAACGGGGGCATGTGATCACTTGGCTATACAAAATATACATTAGACAGGTCAAACTCACACTCAACCTGTTCTTCAAGGATCACATGATGCTAG